GCGATCGCCGCCCGCGCCGCGCTCCCCGCCGAGCCATAGTTTTTTTCCACCACGGTGTATCTCGCGCGTCGCTCCACCTCCCGCTCATCGATCGATTTTCTTAAATGCCTTCCGAGTCCGGCCTACCGTCTCCTGCATCCTCATTCGCTCAAACGTGTAAATTAATTACTCGATAACTATTGTTACTTTGTACCGCGGTACATGATATTTCTCCTTAGTTTAACCCAATCTACCACTATTTTCAAGGTGGCTACTTTTGCATCAGACACCCTGTATAGTATACCATTCAAACAGATCCGTTAATAGCAGTTGTTGTAATAATGTGTCTCTCATCCCATCCCACCACACTTTTTTTCTCCTTTGTGATCTGTAATTCTATATAATCTTCTGCCATTAGTATTAAATAATGAATTGAATGATTAAGTAAAGTTGGAAATGTATCAAGATAATTACTATAAGTAAGAAAGTTTCTTACTATAAGAAAGTTTCTTACTATAAGTAAGAAAATGACGTAATTTATTATATTGAGAATAAGACAAGCACTACACTTTTCAATATATACAATTTCACTTTGTTAATTTTTTTTAATTATCTGAAGTTACAAATTGTTGTGTTGTTTTCGCAAGAAGCTAAAGTATTAATAAGTAAGTAAGACATTTATCAAAACTAAATGCCTTAAGAAATGTTCTACGTTTTATATCAAATTAATATAAAACATAAATGACTTAGAAACCACTTATTTCGAAATAATTATCTAGTGAGATACATTTAAAAATATATAAACTTTGTATTCCAACTGGTCTTTAAAATATGCTATTAAATTTGTTAATTGTGCGTTAATTGACATATTTATATAAAATGAAAATCAATTAATTTGAGCAAAAATGATTGTATTTAACTACATTAAAGTGACTGGGATATTTGAAAAGTATTTGGAACTAAATTGCTCTACAGAAATTGTCATAAAAACTATGCAATCTTTGTTTGACGTACTACTTATTAGGAAATTATTTTTAAAATATTTTAATTGTTATTTAAAATGGTACTACATTTAATTTTTGCATACAATAAATGGTTAAATTTAAAAGAGCAGTAATTTAATTAAATTTTAACAAATACCTGTAACCTGTAACCTGTAACAAATTCTCTTACGATTCTTCCAATTACACTCATTCCATCGCCTCTAACTTCATCATTACATCGCTTAATCTTTATTTAACATTACTTAATAAAATTCTAAGCATATTCCACTTGAATAATTTGAGATATATTTATTTGCAAATAACATATTCAATTCAACACAATTATATCGTGTTCTATAAAAAATTGCATTATACATATATTGAAAAAAACTACAGGTATGTTTCGTTCACGTTTTCTATCACCGCCTCGTTGTATGCAAAACAGATATATAACCAACGGATGTTTTCAGTAACTAAAAACATATTTTTTTATGATAATATACTTGTAATTTGCATTTGTACAATGTAAGATTAAGAAGTGAATAATAATTAAATTTAAGATAACACATACACAATAAAAAATTCAAATTTTATATACATACGTGTACATTAAAGTATAATATGAGTGCGATAAACTTCAATCAAATTTGAATGACACTAGATGATATTTTAACATACTTAATATAATTGATTAAATCAAAGAAGAAAATATCTTACACCGCAAAACGTGGCCATTGTAACTGGAGATATTTTTCCAACAGTGAGATAAATTGGTTTAGAACCTCTTGTCATTAAGAATAACAAATCTTCTGTAACTTTTGGATCCATGGTGTACCATTCATTAGTGTATGCCGCATAATATATTTTATTACACTTGAAAATATCAAAAATACTTTTAATTGCTTATCATTACATGTATACAAGATCTTATATCTAAATAAAATGAAGTTATTGCCATATAATAGGCCACAAAGTTATTATGTAACATTCCATTTGCAATAAAATGCTGAAATAAAAAAAAAATAACTAACCTGGGCCACCAAAATCTCGCCGAGAACACAATATAGGCACATGTGTACAAATATATTAAAAACAGTGGACACGAAATATATTAAGTTAATAGCTGACATATTATTTCCTTCGATGAATAGCTAATTAATTTATGAAATAAATAAAGAGATGTTCTTATTAATAATATACTATTTGATTATATTATTAAAACGTCGTAGCAATTTCTGGATCGGAGTACATTCACTATGATCATATACATTATATGTTTTATTTTCCAAAACAATTTACACAAATGTGTTTTTTTCTAAACTTTTAAATACTCACGTTGATCAGCCGATATCCATAAAAAGCAAAAAGTATGGCAAAATATATAAACAAACAGAGAAGTATTACGTTATACGTATCTTCAATAATACTAATAGCTCTATAAAAGATATTTCATGTAATTTATATCCTCGACCATATAATTCATCTAGAATATATACATATATTTTGTATATGTTTTCTTACGAATAACAAACCTAAGCAAAGAGTTATGTTTTGCTACACAACATCTTAACACTTTGTGGCAATTTATGTATTTATCCAAACATTGCAAACGTTTTTTAATAATCTCCAACTGACCACATATATGAAAAATCAAAAGACTGAGGAAATTGTCGACTCCGGTATAAACCATCATGCCAATAGCTAAGTAGATGCTTTGACTAATGAATGTCAGTTCGTATTGTGGTCTTTTGGTTACATCGTAAACGTAATAGGATTGGTAAGGCAGTGGTTTTCCTGGGTCAGTAATATTTGGAGTCAATCTCATTGTCATTCCAAAAACAGGTAGTCCGACCATAAAGAAGTACTGTAATCCCATTATGCAGTAGGAACAAATGTTAATTTTCCGTGCTGTTCGCGCTCTTTGGATCATCAAGTTTCTTTCTTGATCACTTTTCAACTTTATCCAATCCTTCGCGATCATATTCATAATCGGAATAATAGCTTAAAAATAAACAATTTTATGCACATTTTACAGCGTTGCTAAATTAAAATATATTAAGTTCAATCCTAAACAGTAAAAGGCAGAACAAAATTAGAACAGCATTACATAAACAACGTTTTCATAATTTTTCAAGAAAAATTATATTATCAATATATTATCTCTACCAAAAATTATCAAGCATGGTCTCTACCTTCTTTTTTCCACCGAAAAATTATAATTCTAATCGCACAACTTATTATTGGTAAAGTAAATTGTAAATTATCTAACATGAGTAAAGTGTCTCCGAAAATTTTTATCAGGGAGTGAATAGAGGGGATAATCAAGCCCATTAATCCCAGCCAAGCTATCATCATTCGAAAATTGCACATCAATTTCTCTCGACGATTTCGTGCGATCTTAGGCCAAAGTCCAATCAAATTTAAAGTGAAACGATTGAGTTTCACCGCCCATTCGAAATCTACCTGCAGAAATCTTGAGTCCAGAACTTGTAATAAGATTACATAATTCTAATATAACATACTCCAACAAACATAATTATAATTAAACTGCGTGTAATAGTTTAAAATACAATCTTCATGATACAGAAAATAGTAATTAATTATTAAAAAGCCATGATTGATTTCAAGTTGTTGCATTTAGATGTAACTAATGTTGTTAGATATAACAATAATATAGTCATAAAAGGCAACAACAGATGCAAATACAACTTACTGCATGAGGCAATAATCTAGAAGTTTTGTTAATAGTAAAATAATGAGCTATGGATTGCAATTGTGAAATAATGTCACTACTTGTATAAAATTAAAAAATAAAATACTACAGAACTATAAGCACCTTGGTATCCGTTATATTTTGGACTTTTCATGTCCACTGTTATCTAAAGACTGGCGTCTATTCCTCTATCATGAATCGACGTTACCTCTTGTGCAGTAAAGAACATTTCTTGCGCATGCTTACAATTTTAGGTACTTCCCGAAAGTATCGAACGATCAACCAGCAACACAGTATTTTAAATATTCTGCTTCTACTTTTGTTTCAAATTTTTGTCAAGTTTCCAACACCGCTCGTCACGCAAAACATGTGTGAATAAAAAATTACGCGATAACAGGTGGCTGTGTTTGACGCAAAAAAGTCTACGTAAGTGCACCAGTTACATTCCCACGCTTCTATAATCCTCTCTTGCTTATAACTCTTGCTTATAGCAGTAGAGTATATCGAGCATATCGTACACTACTGGTTTTGAAAATAAATTTACAAAAATGGTATTGTTTGTTCTCATTGTTCGAGTTTTTCAAGATACATGCAAAACATAAAAATGTACTGGAAGGTGAGTATTTTGATTTGTACCATTACTTAAAAGAATCCTTAACTTATTCTAATCAACAAATGCATTGAAATATATTCATTTGTGAAGGATATATTAATATTAGCATAGAGTCGAACTATAAATTTCCATAAACACAGTTGCGTAATGTAGGAAAAAGTTTTTCTCACTTTTTTTTAATCATCTCTCATTGTGTGCAAAACGGATAAATGACCGACTGACGTTTTGACCAACTGAAAAACATATTCTGATAATAATACTGCTAACCCATTAAGTTTAATAAATAAAAAAATACGACATATAAGATTAAGAAGCACCAAGTACTATTAAATAACGAGACTGGTGCATGGCAAAAGCGTGGTTTATTATTACAATATTGTAACTGAATTGTTATTTTCTTCTTCTATCTATGTATATGCCATTGCATACGAAGTTTCCATTGTTGGAAACTGCTGCAGTTCATATGTCAATCTCTTCAGCAACGCCGCTGTTTTCTCCTTTATCTTATCCACTGTCCGAAAGTTAATTCAGTAGTGAGAACAACACGTAGATTCTTCATCACGGCAATGTTCCAGCTCACAATGGTTTGTCCTTAAAGCAGTTTCTGATAAGAGGATCTCAGGGCTGGACCACTTCCTTTGCCCGCTGGATTTAGCTTTGTGTGACTTTTACCTGTTTCCTAAGGTAAACTTTACGTTGAAGGGAACTCATTTTCAAACTGAAGACGAGGTAAAGGAGAAAACGGCGGCGATGCTAAAGGAGTTGACACACGATGGCCTGCAACACCGTTTCAAATAATGGGAAATTCGCATGCAAAATTATAATAATCCACATTTTTGCTACCAATCTCGTTCTTTAATAGCCACACCTCATATATGTGTATGTGAAATAAAGAATTCATATTATATACATATGTATAATAAAACATAATTGCATAACAAACTTCACAGTATAGTTAGTGAATTATACAGGGTGTCGGATTCGATTTGGACCACTCCAAAGATTATAGTAGATTGGGTCAAACTGAGAAGAAAAGTTACGAGTATATAACATTTTACAAAATCCGTAATTATTATCGCGTAATTAAGAAAAACGTCTGAGCCAATAAGTGCACGGAGAAGCGGAAGGCCGGACTCGGCAGACATGCAAAATGGTGTATCTGTTGACATCTCTCAAGATCCCATAGCGAGAAGTGGAGTCACGCATCGATCGATGAGAGACGTCGGCGAGCGGGGAGCGGTGAGCGGGCGAACAGCGCGCAGCGAGCGAACGCGCGACATATGACATCGCGCCGAAAAAGTTTTTCTGGTGGTAGGAGAATAATACACCATTTTGCAAGTCTACCGAGTCCGGCCTTCAGCTCCTCCGTGCACTTATTGGCTCAGACGTTTTTCTTAATTACGCGATAATAATTACAGATTTTGTAGAATGGTATATAACTTTTCTTCTCAGTTTGACCCAATCTACTATAATCTTTGGAGTGGTCCAAATCGAATCCGACACCCTGTATAGTATACCATTCAAACAGATCCGTTAATAGCAGTTGTTGTAATAATGTGTACTCATCCCATCACACTTTTTTCTCCTTTGTGATCTGTAATTCTATATAATCTTCTGCCATTAGTATTAAATAATGAATCGAATGATTAAGTAAGGGTGAAAATGTATCAAGGTAATTACTATAAGTAAGAAAATGACGTAATTTATTATATTGAAAATAAGATAAGCACTACACTTTTCAATATATACAATTTCACTTTGTTAATTTTTCTTAATTATCTGAAGTTACAAATTGTTGTGTTATTTTCGCAAGAAGCTAAAGTATTAATAAGTAAGTAAGATATTTATCAAAACTAAATGCCTTAAGAAATGTTCTACGTTTTATATCAAATTAATATAAAGCATGAATGACTTAGAAACCACTTATTTCGAAATAATTATCTAGTGAGATACATTTAAAAATATATAAACTTTGTATTCCACCTGGTCTTTAAAATATGCTATTAAAGTTGTTAATTGTGCGTTAGTTTACATATTTATATAAAATGAAAATCAATTAATGTAGGAAAAAATGATTGTATTTAACTACATTAAAGTGACTGGGATATTTGAAAAGTATTTGGAACTAAATTGCTCTACAGAAATTGTCATAAAAACTATGCAATCTTTGTTTGACGTACTACTTATTAGGAAATTATTTTTAAAATATTTTAAATTGTTATTTAAAATGGTACTACAATTAATTTTTGCATACAATAAATGGTTAAATTTAAAAGAGCGGTAATATAATTAAATTTTAACAAATACTTGTAGATTCTCTCTCTCTCTCTCTCTCTCTTACGATTCTTCCAATTAAACTCACTCCATCGCCTCTAACATCATCATTAAATTTAATCATTAACTTAATCTTTCGTTAACATTATTATTATTTAACAGAATTATAGGCATATTCCACTTGAATAATTTATTAATGTAACGGGATATAATGGAGTTTCACGGCCCCGAAGGAACAACTTAGCTTTGAATATATCTCTCTACTTTTAATCAGGATATAAGGGAGAACACATCCTCTTTCTTACACTGTACGCACGCCACTCTCGACGCTTCCACTAGCACTACGCTCATGTTGATTACACTGTAGCTTAACTAAAATACGCTTTTGTCTCACAAGTATAAAATATCTCTTAAAAGACAAACAGTTCTTATTTGAAATCTTTTTAATAAAATATACTGTTTCTTCTTGTTCTTAAAAGCTTATTAACGTAACTGATTCAAATACATCGTTTTTCATTAAAATCAAATAACTAATTGTTGATTCTACGATCCATGAAAAAGATATTTATAAACCACGACTTAAGTTTGAACTTGATTCCATTCATTATTCAATAGATACTTTCAAATATTTTCAAATTCTGCGGTGAAAATTATCTCGTTGTATGTAAAACGGATATATAGCCAACAGACGTTTTTACTAACTGCAAAATACATTTTTTATTAATATTAGTAATATATAATATAAGTTTAAAAAATTAATATTAAAACTTAATAATAACCAAAGATAAAATAAAACAAATAATGCAAATTTCATATATTAAAATATATACATATAAATGTTAAAAAAATATAAAAGCTCAGTGCCTAATACATTTTAATATACCTAATAATAACTGTCAAGCATTATAATAACTTACACTGCAAAACGTTGCCATTGTCACAGGAAATACTTTTCCAGCAGTAAGATAGATCGGTTTGGAGCCTCTTATCATTAAAAGCATTAAGTTTTGTGTTACTTTTGGATTCATGCAGTACCATTGATTACTGTACACCGCATAATATATGTTATTACACTTGAAAATATAAAAGTATCTTTAATCGAACATTATTACACATTCTAATAATTGCACAAAAGTTAATTGTTAATTATAAATTAATTATAAATAATACAGGCCCGTGAAATTTTAGATTTTATTACAAAAGCTTAGTTAGAAAAGGAAAAGTATAGGTGGGAGTATAGCTGGAATAATGCTGTAGCCAAATTCGTTTTCGGCGTTCAAAAATCTATCAGATTTATCTACTCTACTTTTTGTTTTTGATCTTCGCAGGTCTGTGTAATTATTATAAATAATTATAAATTAATTAATACACTAGTCTGACTAGTCGAACTTATACTCACAAACTAATAACTTTTTTATTTCTAATTCCATTGCAATATTAATCTACATATATTTTCAGTTTCAGAAGAATTTACGTGCAACGTTCGTAATATGTGGTTATCCGAATGAGATTACATGAAGTCGTAAACAATTTAGTTATGCATTATAAAGTACAAAAATTACTATTAAGTTTTTAATACATGTGACAATATTAGATTCAATACATCATACATTAAATACTTCTTGAATAAATTAATTACATGCTATTATGTAGCATATTGTGTGTGTTAATTATATTATAATATTTATAGTATTTACATGATATTGATTATGCAACATAAAATTTATTTAACTTATACAGGAAAAAAGAGAAATATTCGACTAACCTGAGCAACCAAAATCTCGCCAAGAGCACAGTATAAGCACATATGTGCAAATATATTCATCACGGTGGATGCGAAATAGATCAAGTGTGGGAATGATATATCAGTTCCTTCGTCAAATAGCTAATTAATTTATAGTATAAGAAAAATATTTGATTTTTACATTTGACTACTATTAATTCAAATTTATAATAAAATATTATATAAACATTGAAGTATTTTCGGTAAAATGTAGAAAATGCACAGTATATTTCATAAGTTATTTTTTCTCATTTTAAGAATTAATTTGCTCAAACAAGTATTTATATGTACTTCAAAATACTTACGGTCATTATCCGGAAACCATAAAAAGCGAAGAGTATCGCGAAATATATAAATAAGAAGAGTAGAATAACATTATACGTATCTTCAATAATGTCAATGGCTCTATAAAAGATGGTCTGTGTATTAGACACATAAAAATGGAGTATTGCTCACAATTATATGAATTAAATTAATATGTAAATATCAAACCTAAGCAAACGCGTGTGTCTTATTATACAATATTTTAATTTCTCGTAAGAATTTACATATTTATCCAAATTTGATAAATGGTTCTTGAGAATCTCTAATTGGCCACATATATGGAAAACCAGCAGTCCGAGAAAATTATCGATTCCGCTGTAGGCCATCATGGCAACAATAATATAAATAGATTGACTAATAAATGTCAGCTCGTACAGTGGACTTTTTGTTACGTCGTAAATGTAATAAGTTTGTAGAGGCATTGGTCTCCCTGGGTCAGTAATATTGGTCGTGTTTCTCATCGATATTCCGAAGCAGGGCAGAATGATAAGGAAAAAACATCCTGTTCCCATTATACAGTATGCGAAAGTAATAATTATGCGCGCACTTCGTGCCCTTCTGACCATCACGCTTCTCTCTTGTGAAGTTTTCGACTTTACCCAATCCTCTACTATCATATTCATGATTGGTACAATAGCTTAAAAAATGTTAATATTAAAAACTTTCAGAACACTTAACAGATAATTACTGGAACAAAATAGGATCTATTACAAGTTTAGTTATAAGCGATAAAAAGTAAAGATTCTTTTTCGTTAAAAAATCTATAGTACTATAGATTATGTACTATAGATTATGCAGGAAAAAAAATATTAAACTCGTAATGTGCTATTTTTATTGTATCATATAAACCTATTCGTGGATATTATCTACATATTCTACATAAATGTGATTACTTCATCTTTGAAAAAGTATATTCATATAACATTTTTAGTCATTTTCTTTTAATATGTTTATATACATAACAATTAAATAATTGGGTTATGTAGATTGTGTAATAGTTTTATTTTAAATTCTGTATTAGTTTAATTAAAAACCCTAATTAATATGTGATATTTTAAATAAAAAACATGTACATATTGCACTTGGGTTTTTGAAAATTTATGAAAATTCATTAACACAGTTCAGTTTTCGTATAAAAATAAAATATTCTATATATGACTAAATTCTTTTACATAAAGAAATTTCCTACTTTAGAGCATTAATATATTATACATTTTTTAAATGTTATGCACACACGCACACGTATACATAGAACATAATATTTAAATTTTATACATTATTTCCCGCATTATATAATTTAGATAAACAGCCGAAAATTGTATTTGTGTACCTTCTTTTTTCCACCAGAAAATTACGATTCTTATTGAGCAACTTAGAGTTGGCAGAGCATATTGTAAATTATCTAGCATTAATATAATGTCTCCAAAAATTCTTGTCAAGGAATGTATAGAAGGAATAATGAGACCAAGCGTCACACCCAAAAAGGTGGCGAGAACTCGAAAATTGCACATTAATCTTTGTCGTGAATTGTGTGCGGTTTCAGGCCAGAGCCCAATCAGATTTAAAATCAAACGATTTAGTTTCACCGCCCATTCAAAATCTACCTGCAGAAATCTTAATAAGTCTTAAGTTAAAAAGATTAAAAAGATTAATTTCATCAATTTCTAACACGCACAGAAACACACAAGATCACGCTGAAAATTGCAAATATTAAATATTATATAAAGAAATAAGCTAAAAATAATATCTATTTAAAACTCTTCACATTTTATCATTACTTAATAATGATTATAAAAAGATAATTTAAAACTTTCGAATACTATTATTAGTCGCACAAACTGTAATGAAAAAAAAAATGTTTCCACCAGAATTGTATTACGATTCTCTCAGTTACAATTACAGTGAAAATAAACACCTCGGTATCCGTTATATTTTAAACTTTTCATGTCGAATGTTGTCTAAAGACTGACGTCTGATTCCCTTTTGTGAATCGATGTCACCTCGTACTCAGTAAGAAGCATGTTTCGCGCATGCTCACAATGATAATATTCGAGAGAAACGATACGATCAATTTACACAAAGTAAGTGAGATATTAAATATTCTGCACCCTCGTGTAAAGTTGTCGTTACTTCGGTACTAAATATCGCAGAAAACATTCGAACAGAAAATTTAGTAACAGGTGGTTAGGGGAAAAACAGTCATACGTACGTTCCCGTCGTTTTCCCATACTTCTATAATCAGCTATAGCTTATAACTATAGTTAGTAAATTATATACAATACCATTGATACATATCTGTCAAGATATATTTATGTGCAAATAACATATTAATTTCAAAACAATAATATCGTGTTCTATAAAAAATTACATTATATAATAAAAAAAATTTTAGGCGTGTTTTCTTGACATTTTCTATCACCGCCTCGTTGTATGCAAAACAGATATATAACCAACGGATGTTTTCAGTAACTAAAATCATATTTTGTAATGATAATATACTCGTAATTTGCATGCGTACAATGTAAAACTAAGAAGAAAATAATAATGAAATATAAGATAACACATACACAATAACAAAATTCAAATTTTATATACAGATATTAAGGTATAATATAAGTGCTACAAACTTTAATCAAATTTGAGTGACGCTACTATATTTTAAAATAATAGTTTAAATCGGACAAGAAAATATCTTACACCGCAAAACGTGGCCATTGTAACTGGAGATATTTTTCCAACAGTGAGATAAATTGGTTTAGAACCTCTTGTCATTAAAAGTAACAAATCTTCGGTAACTTTGGGATCCATGGTGTACCATTCATTAGTATATGCCGCATAATATATTTTATTACACTTGAAAATATAAAAAAAACTGTTAGATGCTAAGCATTATATGTATACAATATTTTATATCTAAATAAAATGAAGATAATGCCATATAATAGGCTAGAAAGTTATTATGCAAAATTCTATTTGCAATAATTCTGTAATAAAAAATATATATGTATATGTATAACTGACCTGGGCCACCAAAATCTCGCCGAGAACACAATATAAGCACATATGTACAAATATATTAAAAACAGAGGACACGAAATAGATTAATTGAACGGCTGACATATTATTTCCTTCGGCTAATAACTATATATTATATGTACGAATAATTAATTTATAAAATAAAGAAATAGATGTTATACTTATTATTAATAATATAATCATATTATTAAAACGTAATAGTAAATTATGCAGTACATTCATTATTAATATATACATACATATTATATGTTTAATTCTCCAAAAATTACTTACACAAATGTGTTTTTGTCTAAACTTTTAAATACTCACGCTGATCAGCCGAAATCCATAAAATGCAAAAAGTATGGCAAAATATATAAATAAAGAGAGAAGTATTACGTTATACGTATCTTCAATAATACTAATAGCGCTATAACAGATATTTCAAATAATTTATATCCCCGACCATATATTTCACATAGAATATATACGTATATTGTATTTGTTTTTTACGAATAACAAACCTAAGCAAAGAGTTATGTCTTGCTACACAATATCTCAACACTTTGTGGCAATCCATATATTTGTCCAAACATTGCAAACGATTTTGAAGAATCTCCAATTGACCACATATATGAAAAATCAAAAGACTGAGGAAATTGTCCACTCCGGTATAACCCATCATGCCGATAGCTACGTAGATGCCTTGACTAATAAATGTCAGTTCGTATTGCGGTCTTTTGGTTACATCGTAAACGTAATAGGATTGGTAAGGCAGTGGTTTTCCTGGGTCAGTAATATTTGGAGTCAATCTCATTGTCATTCCAAAAACAGGTAGTCCGACGATAAAGAAGTACTGTAATCCCATTATGCAGTAGGAACAAATGATAATTTTCCGTGCTGTTCGCGCTCTTTGGATCATTAAGTTTCTGTCTTGATCATTTTTCGTTTTTATCCAATCCTTCGCGACCATGTTCATAATCGGTATAATAGCTTAAAAAGTAAACAATTTTATACTCCAAAGTTAAATCAAAACATTTTTAATTCAATTCTAAATAGGAAAACAACACAAGAGAAAGGAAATTGAAGCAATGTTCCTTTATTGTTTTAAGAAAACTAACATTATAACTTTCAACAAAAAATACTAATTCCGCTATGTACAAAACTTATTGCGTATAAATATTGTATAGCTCAATAACGTTGTGTGTGTGTGTTTAATTTTATGTAACAGTTTGTATGTATATTTGTAAACTCTTACAATTAAAAAAAACAACATAAATATCACAACATAAATTTTTCACAATATCGTAATATAAATAGAAATAAAATAAATGTAGAGGGAGGTCATGAATTTACCTTATTATATAAAATAACTAAACTGCATATATATATTTAAAAAGTAAGTTATTGATATTCAATTTAAAATTGATATTCGACTCTTATATAATTTATTATATTTTAACAGTTTATAAATACTATTAAAAGTGATGTCTACCTTCTTTTTTCCACCACAAAACCACGATTCTAATCGCACAACTTATTACTGGTAAAGTAAATTGTAAATTATCTAACATTAGCAAAGTGTTTCCAAAAATTTTTATCAGGGAATGTATGGAAGGAATGACAAGACAAAGTGTCATTCCAAGCACAGCTATCAACACTCGAAAATTGCACATTAATTTCTGCCATGGATTTTGTTCGTTCTTAGGCCAAATTCCAAGGTAATCTAATGTGAAACGATTTAGTTTCACCGCCCATTCCAGATCTGCAGAAAACTTGATAAGTTCGCAGTTAAAAGAATTACATAAATGAGAACGTAATTATAGCTAAATTAGCCAAATTACCGAGAAGTACAAAAACTTTATTTAATTGAATATGTGAAACATATAGTTTAAAATAATATATTTTTAAACATTTTTTTACTTTTGTTCAATCATGAGGTTAAGGAAACAATAAACGATTAAAGACGAAAATTACTAATCTTAATTTGCCATGGTTACATAGAAGTAAAGTTGTTACAATATATTTAATAACTTTATCTAATATGTCTATAAAAACAATACAACTATACACTGTAAAAAGTGGTCATTCAAAATTTCTGTTAATGGTGGGATAATAAAACATAAATTAATGTTATTACAATTGCTGTCACTTTTTCACACATTGCAAGTAAAATATTTCCTTAAAATTTTTTATTTACAGCTACAACCGTCTAGACTATAAGCACCTCGGTTTCCATCATATTTAGATGTTTCCATGACGAATGTTATCCGAAGACTGACGTCTCTTCCTTCGACAGGAATCGATGTTACCTACTACGCAGCAAAAAATATTGCTTGCAAATGCTTTCAATATTTCTTCTCGAATCAACTTGCAAGGTATTTTTAATATTTTATTTCTCTCACAATTCTTGTTTCAAATTGTCACCGACGATCCTCAAGTAAGACATTGGCGAATAAAAAGTTGCAGATGAATAGTATATTGATGAAAAAAGCACTTATACACATGTTATATTCCCACACTTCTTGCAGAAGCTATAGAATTTTAACTGTGCTTAATAAGAATTTATATTCAACATGTCACACAGTACTTATGATCTCCATTCCTTAATGGGAAAATAAGGTTACAAAAGTGGAAATGTCGTATAATACAATGTTATTAGAAGGTAAGAAATTTCAATTTGTAATAATTATAACAAAGAAATTCGCATAGTTCATGTACTTATGCTATATTACTATACGTACTTATGGATCGTGTGAAGTACAGTATATAATATATTTCATCACACTAAAGAATATTAAAAGTCTATTTAGATAAAAGTGTATCTGTTGTTCTGTAATATTATAAAATTATTTAGTTATTAATTACATATGAAATGAAATTTAGTAACAGGTGGTTAGGGGAAAAACAGTCATACGTACGCACCCGTCGTTTTCCCATACTTCTAGAATCAGCTGTAGCTTATAACTGTAGTTAGTGAATTATATACTATACCATTCAAACAGATCCGTTAATAGCAGTTGTTGTAATAATGTGTACTGATCCCATCACACTTTTTTTCTCCTTTGTGATCTGTAATTCTATATAATCTTCTGCTATTAGTATTAAATAATGAATCAAGGGTTTAAATAAGCATGGAAATGTATCAAGATAATTACTAGTATGAAAATGACGTAATTTATTATATTGAAAATAGACAAGCACTCCACTTTTCAATATATACAGTTTTACTTTGTTAATTTTTCTTAATTATCTGAAGTTACAAATTGTTGTGTTATTTTCGCAAGAAGCTAAAGTATCAACAACTAAGTGAGATATTTATCAAAACTAAATGCCTTAAGAAATGTTCTATGTTTTACATCCAGTTAATATAAAACATAAATGACTTAGAAACCACTTATTTCGAAATAATTATCTAGTGAGATACATTTAAAAATATATACTTCAACTTTGTATTCCAACTGGTCTTCAAAATATGCTATTAAATTTGTTAATTGTGCGTTAGTTTACATATTGATATAAAATGAAAATCAATTAATTTGAGCAAAAATGATTGTATTTAACTACATTAAAGTGACTGTGATATTTGAAAAGTATTTGGAACTAAATAGCTCTACAGAAATTGTCATAAAAACTATGCAATCTTTGTTTGACGTATTACTTATTAGGAAATTATTTTTAAAATATTTTAAATTGTTATTTAAAATGGTACTACATTTAATTTTTGCATACAATAAATGGTTAAATTTAAAAGAGCGGTAATATAATTAAATTTTAACAAATACCTGTAGATTCTCTGTCTCTTACGATTCTTCCAATTAAACTCACTCCATCGCCTCTAACATCATCATTACATCGCTTAATCTTTATTTAACATTATTTAATAAAATTCTAAGCATATTCCACTTGAATAATTTGAGATATATTTATTTGCAAATAACATATTCATTTCAACACAATTTTATCGTGTTCTATAAAAAATTGCATTATACATATATTGAAAAAAACTTCAGGTATGTTTCTTTCACGTTTTCTATCACCGCCTCGTTGTATGCAAAACAGATATATAACCAACGGATGTTTTCAGTAACTAAAAACATTTTTTTATGATAATATACTTGTAAATTGCATTTGTACAATGTAAACTTAAGAAGTGAATAATAATTAAATTTAAGATAACGCATACACAATAAAAAATTCAAATTTTATATACATACGTGTACATTAAAGTATAATATGAGTGCGATAAACTTCAATCAAATTTGAATGACACTAGATGATATTTTAACATACTTAATAGATTAAATCAAAGAAGAAAATATCTTACACTGCAAAATGTAGCCATTGTAACTGGAGATACTTTTCCAACAGTGAGATAAATTGGTTTAGAACCTCTTGTCATTAAGAGTAACAAATCTTCTGTAACGTTTGGATCCATGGTGTACCATTCATTAGTGTATGCCGCATAATATATTTTATTACACTTGAAAATATCAAAAATACTTTTAATTGCTTATCATTACATGTATACAAGATCTTATATCTAAATAAAATGAAGTTATTGCCATATAATAGGCCACAAAGTTGTTATGTAACATTCCATTTGCAATAATGCTGAAATAAATAAAAATATAACTAACCTGGCCCACCAAAATCTCGCCGAGAACACAATATAGGCACATGTGTACAAATATATTAAAAACAGTGGACACGAAATAGATTAAGTTAATGGCTGACATATTATTTCCTTCGACGAATAGCTAATTAATTTATGAAATAAATAAAGAAATGTTCTTATTAATAATATACCATTTGATTATATTATTAAAACGTCGTAGCAATTTCTGGATCTGAGTACATTCATTATGATCATATACATTATATGTTTTATTTTCCAAAATAATTTACACAAATGTATTTTTGTCTAAACTTTTAAATACTCACGTTGATCAGCCGATATCCATAAAAAGCAAAAAGTATGGCAAAATATATAAACAAACAGAGAAGTATTACGTTATACGTATCTTCAATAATACTAATAGCTCTATAAAAGATATATCATGTAATTTATATCCTCGACCATATATTTCATCTAGAATATATACATATATGTATTTTATGTGTTTTCTTACGAATAACAAACCTAAGCAAAGAGTTATGTTTTGCTACACAACATTTCAACACTTTGTGGCAATCTATATATTTATCCAAACATTGCAAACGTTTTTTGAGAATCTCCAACTGACCACATATATGAAAAATCAAAAGACTGAGAAAATTGTCCACTCCCGTATAACCCATCATGCCGATAACTACATAGATGGCTTGACTAATAAATGTCAGTTCGTATTGCGGTCTTTTTGTGATATCGTAAACATAATAGGTTTGCAAAGGCATTGGTTTCCCTGGATCAGTAATATTTGGAGTCAATCTCATTGTTATTCCAAAAACAGGCAGTCCGACAATAAAGAAGCACTGTATTCCCATTATGCAGTAGGAACAAATAATAATTATCCGAGCTGTTCGTGCTCTTTGGATCATTAAGTTTCTCTCTTGATCACTTTTTGGTTTTATCCAATCCTTCGCAATCATGTTCATAATCGGAACAATAGCTTAAAAAGTAAACAATTTTATACATATTTGAAGGCTAAATCAAAACGTGTTCAATTCAATTCTAAATAGTAAAAAACACACGAGAAAGGAAATTGAAGCAATGTTCCTTTACTTTTTCAAGAAAACTAACATTATAGTTTTAAACAAAATATTAATTCTGTTATCTACAAACCTTATTGCGTATAAATATCGTAGAGCTCAATAACGTTTTGTGTGTGTTTAATTTTATGTAACAGTTTGTATGTATGTATATACGAAAATGTTTTTAACTAAAAACTACGTAATTATTATAACTTAAAAATTTAAAAACATACTAATATAATTCCTTGTTTCAATCAAAATAAAATAAATGTTGTTCATGAATTTACTTTATTATATAAATTAAATAAACTACATTTAATAAGTAAGTTATTAAGTGAATTTATTAATATTCTATTTAAAACTAATATTCGACTCTTATATAATTTATTATATTTTAACAGTTTATAAATACTATTAAAAGTGATGTCTACCTTCTTTTTTCCACCACAAAACCACAATTCTAATCGCACAACTTATTACTGGTAAAGTAAATTGCAAATTATCTAACATTAGCAAACTGTTTCCAAAAATTTTTATCAGGGAATGTATGGCAGGAATGACAAGGCAGAGTGTCATTCCAAGCACGGCTATCAACACTCGAAAATTGCACATTAACTTCTGTCGAGGATTTTGTTCGTATTTAGGCCAAATTCCAAGGTAATCTAAAGTGAATCGGTTTAGTTTCACTGCCCATTCCAGATCTGCAGAAAACTTGATAAGTTCGAAGTTAAAAGTATTACATAAACCAGAATATTTATAGATAAATTAGCCAAATTAGTCCGAAAGTTAAAAGTTAAAAGTAAAAGTTAAAAAAATTTATTTAACTGTATATATGAAACATTATAGTTTAAAATAATATTTTTAAACATTTTTACTTTTGTTCAATCATGTATTAAGATTAAGGAAACAATAAACGATTTAAGACAAAAATTACTGATCTCAATGTGCCATGGTTACATAGAAGTAAAGTTATTACTTCTATATTACAATATATTTAATAAGTTTTTCTAATATGTTTTTAAAACAATACAACAATACACTGTAAAAAGTGATCATTCAAAATTTCTGTTAATGGTGGGATAATAAAATATAAATTAATGTTATTATAATTACTGTCACTTTTTCACACATTGCAAGTAAAATTCTTCCTTAAACTTTATTTACTTTATTTATTTACAGCTACAACGGTCTAGACTATAAGCACCTCGGTATCCATCATGTTTAGAAGTTTCCATGACCAATGTTATCCGAAGACTGACGTCTCTTCCTTCCACATGAATCGATGTTACCTACTACGCAGCAAAAAATATTGCTTGCAAATGCTTTCAATATTTCTTCTCGAATCAACTTGCGAGGTATTTTTAATATTTTATTTCTCTCACAACTCTTGTTTCAAATTGTCACCGACGATCCTCAAGTAAGACATTGGCGAATAAAAAGTTGCAGGTGAATAGCATATTGATGAAAAAAGCACTTATACACATGTTATATTCCCACACTTCTTGCAGAAGCTATAGAATTATAACTATGCTTAATAAGAATTTATATTCAACATGTTATACGGTACTTATGATCTCCACTTCTTAATGATAAAATAAGGTTACAAAAGTGAAAATGTCGTATAATACAATGTTGTTAGAAGGTAAGAAATTTCAATTTGTAATAATTATAACAAAGAAATTTGCATAGTTCGTGTACTTATGCTATATTACCATACGTACTTAATAGATATCGAACATTAACGGTTAAAAATATGGATCGTGTGAAGTAAAGTATAATATAATGAATTCAACCTCATTTTATTTTGTTTCTAATCATCTAATAGAATTACCAACACATTTCCATCAAGTTATACAATAAAATCTAAAAATATTTGCCAATAAAGTTTTAATAAAAATACAATTCTTAGTTCATTAAATTCTACAAAATTAATACATTAGAATTAAAAGCCGTAACTTTATCTCAATTTCTAATAACGTCTCGTCGTATGTAAAACAGATATATATCCAATTGAAGTTTTTATTAACTGCAAAATACATATTGTCAGCAATAGATAATTTATAATGTATTAGTAAGAGACAGTTAATAACATAATGAATTTTAGAATCATACAAAATTTTATATGTATAATGTGTGTATGTCAATACATACATGTAAGATGAGAAAGGTATATATAGATATACATAATTTGTATATATGTAAATACAATAAAATATTTATAAATTTTAAATTATTGTAATGTACGATAAATATTATTAAAATAAAATGTCATTCAAGCCTTTTTAGCACAATGATTATAACCAAATACTAAAATATCTTACACTGCAAAACGTGATCATTGTCATGGGGAATATTTTTCCAGCAGTGAGATAAATTGGTTTAGCACCTCTTACCAGTAAAAACAATAAATCTTGTGCGAGTTTTGTATCCACGGAGTACCACTCATTACTGTAGGCTGCATAATATATTTTATCACACTAAAAAATATTAAAAGCCTATTTAGATAAAAAGTATATTTGTTGTTCTTCTCCGTTTAATAAAAATTTTTTAGGTTAATATTAATGATAAAATTTCTGATATAAGTTGATTGAAAATATTATAAATTTCTTTGTATATTATATTTCGATATTAATATTTATTTTCGCTTTAGGCTTATATAGCGATATAAATATTGAAATTTATAATACTGACACCTTTATTCAATAAATCACATAGTAATAATATAAAGCCTGATAGGGACATGTAACAATACAATGTGTGTATTAAAAGTAATAAAAAATGTAAAAAATGTAACTTACTTGGGCAACCAAAAATTCGCCCAGAGCACAATATAGACACATAGTTACAAATAAATTAAAAATCGTAGATACGAAGTATATCAAGTGTGTCAGTGACAAATCATTTCCTTCGTCGAATAGCTAAGGAATTTTACAAGGCACACAACAAAATGCAATTTTTCTAATAAAAACTGTTATAAATATTTTTCATAAAGTATATTATAAATGTAGTAAGAACTTAGATATCATTACATTTTGGTATTTATTTTGGCGTTAAAAATTAAATAATAAGCAAATGGTACCTTTAAGTGTTTGCACACTCACGTTAATTAAACGGAAACCGTAGAAAGAGAACAGCATTGCAAAGTATGCAAATAATGAGAGAAGTGTTATACTGTATGCATCTTTAATAATGGCAATAGCTCTGCGAAAGAAATTCTATGTACTATTAAATGTAAACACTCAAGAACAATCGTATTCTTCTGATGTAGCAGAATAGTGTCAAAAGACAACACAACGACGTTCATTTTAGTCTACTAAATGTCATTATGTTGTCTTCTTTCATTCTGCTATACAGGGTGTCTGATTCGATATGGACAATCCCAAAGATTATAGTAGATTGGGTTAAACTGAGAAAAAAAGTTATATAAAATTTTACAAAATCGTAATTATTATCGGCCGAATTCAGAAAAACGTCTGAGCCAATAAGGCCGGACTCGGCAGCATGCAAAATGGTGTGTTTGTTGACATCTCTGAAAAATCGATAGCGAGAGGTGGAGTCACGCATCGATCGATGAGAGACGGAGGCGAGCGGGGAGCGGGGAGCGGTGAGCGGGCGAACGCGTTCGCTATCGTTTTTTGAGAGATGTCAACAAACACACCATTTT